GGAAAACAAAATAATAGAACAAAACATAGATCTATAGAAATAATGTTAACATACATAAGACAACAATTTGGAGAAACGGATTAACTGCTTTGAACAAGACAAGTGGTTTTAAGATACAATGTAATGTCAGTTAGTTTGGAAAATATTTTAAACCTTCTAATTTAGAATATGTTTTCTCAGCATGTGATCACTGTTAAATTCCAGTGCACCTATGGTTCACCTCCAACCAATATCTGTGAGATGAGATTGAATGAGTGTTGACATGTTTGTTGTGAGCAGGGAACAGTCGGTGATGAAATCAGAATCTCAATTAAAAGGTGGACAATTCAATAAGAGAGAGTGGAAGAGATGTTATCACATCTTTACAATAGAGATCATCTTATCTCATCTACTGGAGATCATAGATAAAAGTCTTAAAGGCACCGCTTCATTGTGATAGGTCAAAGTGACCCAGAAGAATACTGATGCTAGGAACATCATTATTATAATACTACAGATAGGTCATGTATTATCTCAGTCCTTGAAGCTTCCCTCCACCCCTTATTCAGCCTGACAGATCTTATCTAAAGGCAACAGGAGGAAGGTTTCAGGGGCATATTAATTCATTCTCCTACGGACAGTCAACACCTAGTTCATTCCCCTGTCCTAATCCAGAGCATATCATTGGATTGAATAAAAACAAGCAGTTGACCCTGCCCCTGAACTGAGGATAATTATTACACCAGGAGGCTACAGGTGAAATTTCACCCACATTTTCAATTTAATTTGGGGCTGTCACAAGGACAAGAAGATCCAACCCTTGACCCCCTTGACCTTAAGTTGTGCATTACATCACTGATGACCTTTGAGGCATCAGGTCAGACTCCCAGGCTCCCAGCATGCAACTGGTTCCCACGGAGAGAACTTCAAGGGATAACAAGAAGTGTAAATATCTTTCAATCTCATTCAAAAAGAGACAATGATGAAATAATGCCGTCCATGGGTAAATTGCCTTCTGTGGGCACTGATACCAGTTGTTAATGAGGAAGGGTTGTGATGGTGAGAAATGGGTGTATTGGGGAGGGAACTGTCCAAATAGAGGTACATTTCTGTGGATCAGTGGAAATTGATTACAATAGCAGGAAGAATGGCTACTTGTTGTTGATTGGATTTTCTGAATGGGATGAGCCACGGTGACTTTCTCTGTCCAGTTCTTTTCAGAAAATGTATCCAGGGATGTTAATGGAATTTGTTGGCCACTTGATTGTGTGATTTATTCCCAGGGGATTAAAGAAAAATCTCAATATTCGGCAGTTAAGTTTTTATATTTTATGGTGCATTTCATGAGAAGCTTTTTCATTTTGTATGGGTTTCACTTAGCACAAGCGATAAATGGCCCTGGTGCTATAAAACGAATGGGGCAACAAACAATGTTGAGATGAGGAGGTAAACATAAAGAATCTTAACAAAAACTAATTTTAAAGTCTTCACAGTACCATGCCATATCCAAGGTTCTGACGTACAAAGTGGAGATCAAAGAATGTTGATGTGGGATTGAAGTAAACACGTCAAGTCGATGGCTATCACTATTTCATTTATTCTTCTTCACCAAAAGCAATCAAAAATTGAATTTTCATGTAAAAAGAATTAAAGCTGTGCATTTATTCTTGCATATTGTACTCACTGGTATAGAAGTGGATGGAAACAGTTAATTTGTGGAGGAAAATGCTAGGATAGTGGATAAATTGAGTTTTTCAAGGGTGCTGTTAGTGGTCTTTTGCCTTCAAGGGGATATGATGTTAAGTTGAGTTCAAGTGTTTCTCCCTTAGATTACCATGATGCCTTGGTCATCGATTTGAATCCCAAATTAGAAATTAGTTCCTTGATCTGGCGGCACCATACCCAGTAAGCATTGAATGACTTGTGTCTCTCCTCTTTCATGCTGTCATGTACATCAAACACTGCTCAAATTCACTCATTCAAGTGTTGTAACAGACATACACTCTGACTTTTGGAATAATACGTATACATGATATTTCTTCTAATACTTGAAAGTATGTCTCAATTTATAGTACAACTAATCCATCAGGATTGTCTGTGTGTTTGCATATAATATACACAACTAGTTAACCTACCAACCACTGTTTGAAAGCAAGAAAAAAATTCTTTAAAAATTAAACCCTTGTGAAAAAATATTGACATGTTTTACATATTCTTAACAAAAATATGTCAATTAAACAAAAATATCTTGTCATGATCTCCAAATATTTATTTCATTTGAGGCAGTTTTGGACTAATTAGCAAGCTGAATAAATAAAGAGAAACAAAAGTTGAACTTCCCAGGGAGGGAAGCCCATAGTTTGACAAATGTAGCAAGGAGATGTTTTCTTTCAGGAACTGTTTATGTTATGGCAAACCCCTAAGGTTTCCAAATGCTTTCCTGTCTGGATTGAAACCGGATACACTTTTGTCTCCAGAGCATTCAAGCCAAAGGGGAGGGATTCTGTGAGAAAATTTGTTCCGGTGTCTGTATTTTGGTTACCTTTCTGGTTGACCCCCAATCAGCTGATTGCTAACCCCTTGAACCTGTCAATTTCAAGAGCAATTTCACAGACTATGTGAAATGTATCATTTCCCAGGTTCATAGCATGACCTGATGTGTTTGTTTTAATGATTATCTTGTTGACAGGGAGATATGATAGGGGATTACTCTAATGATGTTTATAAAACTTTTTCCTTTCAAATTTTGCTGGTGAATATTTTACACGCTGTGAGACTTCCCTGGAGAGGTATGGGAAATTGCTCTTTACTGCAGATTTGTTTGAAGTTAAACAATTAGCTTTGTTGGGTATTAAGATGATAGTCTTGAGGTGTTTTATGAAATAGGCCCAGGCTGTACATGTGCTAAACATATGGCTGAAACACCATTGGGAAGTATGAATTCTCTCATGAATATACCAGTATTTTTGGAGTATTTTGGTTCTCTATTAACCACACCCATTGGTAGGACATATTAATTATCAAAGATATTTTCTCTATGGGATTTACAAAAACTCAACAAACATAAGTAGATAATTCTTAAATTAAATTACTAAGAAAACTCTAATATTATCAAACAATAAGAGATGAATCACTTATGTGTGTTATATATGTTTTCACAAAAACGTAACTCAGTGCACTTCATACTGATAGGACAAAAATGTCAATCACAAATAATTCAAGTGATGATAAATTATTGTTATCATCCCTCATACAATATTTCATTATAATATTGCAAGAGCGATGATATTTGATGTTATGTTAATTTGGAGAAATTGAAAAAGGATATATATTATGTTATTTGATGTTGACGGTTTAAATAACTTTCAGGTTTCCTACTAATTACATGCGGGACAGGAAGTAGTGATATAATGACAGAGTAAACCTGCCAGACTGGTACTAGTCACAAAATGAAGCTTATACATGGACCATCTACTCGTGATGTCATTCAAAATATGAGTGTTTGTAGGTTTGTGATTATAATCTGGTGTAGTGTTACGCTATTGACACTGTGCCATTCAATAGGCTTTGTATTGTCACCGACACTCCTCCCAAATACAACCCCCCTCTGTTCAAGAATGCGAAGCTATGAAGGGGTGTCCCTCAGCACACCCTTTGTTTATCAAGGCACAATTGCCGATATCACAAGTTGATATTCAGGAGAAAAGACTTGCATCAGGTCAGCCGAAATTTGATAACACCTGTGTCAAGCATCTTGTTCCTTAGAAACTCAATTGTGAAGGTTAACATGAAATAGTACCCAATGAATATATTTGTTAAAATTGGGATCTCAAATCTTATGCTATGTCATAAGAGATTATATGTACACATTGTGAGAGTGAAATATGCTTACCCGTATAAATATTAGTTTTTGTTGGTTTAAGCATGACAGTCAGCACTGTTTGATGGCTGTGGCCTTGTCTGTTTACCTTACATTTTCATGGATTTGCAGAAAATGTGCAGTTTTAAAACCTTTTTTTATCACATTTCAGAAAGATTTGTTTCATGGTATGATTTATTAAATAGTTCTTGGAGACAGTTAAACAAAACTTTACTGACTGGTAGTAATGATTGGATAACTGGCAGTAAAGATCAGGGTAGTAACAGCAATGATTGCATAACTAGTAGTAATGATCAGGGTAGTAACAGCAATGATTGGATAACTAGTAGTAATGATCCGGGTAGTAACAGCAATGATTGGATTACTGGCAGTAAAGATCAGGGTAGTACCAGCAATGATTGGATAACTGGCAGTAAAGATCAGGTTAGTAACAGCAATGACTAGATTAGTGGCAGACACTACGTGAATGAAGCTATATGTGGGCAAAAAGTGGAACTTCAGAAAAAAACAGAGTCTAATATTTCAGCTACCCAAACGCCATGGCATTATCGGAAATTACTTAACCAATTTACATGGTAGACTAATTGTTTTAGCTCCTGTAGTACCTCAGCTATGTGAAAGGTGTTGAGTTCAGCAAGTCAGCAATATTCCAGCTATATCACAGCAGTTTGTAAATAATTGTCTGGACCAGGCACACCAGTGACTGAAAGCATGAGCAACGTTCAATGTTGTCAGGGTATGATGACACACAATCAGCCAGGTCACAGTGTCCAAACATTCCATCACCATTTTAGTTGGCTTTTCTGACAAGCATGAAGCAATGAGGACCAATTTTACACTGTAATCCTCAAGGGATATGTTGGTGAAATCTTTTGTTTGTATAGCAACATAGCCATACTTCTGGCTAGTCACCATCTATGCCATAATGTTTGCTTGCTAAGTTATTTTTGTAACACAAAAACAGACCTCCTTGACATGATCAAAATGACAAAATCCCATGCTAGTTTCTTTTGGTGCCTCATATAGGATGTGAAACCCCACATCACTCTGTCATTCAGTACTCAGCATCCACTCACAGGGTGGTGTTATTGGTTTGTATTGAATACATGTTCCATGAGTGATGTGTTGACCCTGCTTGTAGATGATGGTAGCGTCTTCATGTGGGGATACAGTCGGGCCTGTGGACACCGGCGCCATGATGTTCTACAGCCAGAGAGAGTTCTTGAAGGTCATCATGTCATCCAGGTAGCAGGAGGCGCCACCCACAGTATGGCTCTCACAGGTAGGTCACAATGGTTCTCATTGTTAGGTCATTGCTCTCAGAGGAAGAAAACTGGCATTCACAGAGCACTTCCAGCTAGATCTACAGGCTACATACATTTACATAAGTTTACATTGGGGAAACCTTACCAGCCAGTATTTTTGTCATTCCTATTATTTTAGCCAGGATTTCCTATTATTCTTATTTTACTGAACAAAATAATGTTAGAGATCCTGCATATCTTGGGGGATATTTTATTGTTCTTTTCTTGTTCAGTTTATATCAAACAAATGCTTTGAAGATCAGGTGTTTCTCTTTGCAGCAAAAATAATGTCTTTATTCATTGTTGTAGAACTAATCATACCTATTCATCATGCTTATTGACATTGTTGGACTGGTGACATGCTGTTTACAGCGTTCCATCATCACACCACAGATGGGCTTTGATTCCCCACATGAGTTCAATGTGTGCATCCATTCTTGTTGCCTCCGCCATTTTTTGCACTTTTGTTGCTCAGATCATGACAAGTTTGTGTTTCCTATTTAATTTGTACACTTTAAGAAAACAAATGATCATAATTACTGTTATTATGTGATGGAAGGTATTTTTCGACATAGACACAAACATCCCCTAAACTGTAATTGGACATAAATAAAGATGTGTTTGTAATGGCTGTCAAGATTTTAAGCAAAATAAATGTGTTTGACTTGGTAATTTTTGCTTGACATCTGCCACATAAAAACAAGGAGTTTGAAAACAGCGTGTGTTTAAGATATATTTTAGACTGTATTTCACGATTACATTTGTCCTGTCACAACATATGCTTCTTAGTGTTACATGTGTCATGCGGGTTGTTATCTTACTTAAGCAGTCTCAAATAAACAGTCACTTGTTCCATACTGTGGTTCGTTGCTTTCAACAGCTGTTTAATATTTGGTTTCATTGATAACAAACAAATTTGTCTCCAATTTCTAGCACTGAAAATGATGGTGTGATGTAATATCCTTTATTGTCTATCAGCTGTCTGTAGCACAATTCACTTGTATCCAGTTGGTCCTCTGCATGAAGGTATCAAATGTTGTTGACCTGTTTTACGAGAAACCATTCCTGACATCTTGTTATATATATTCCTATCATATCTGAATGTCATTTTAAAGAATCTACTGAAGATTACTTCATGTTTTTTGTGCTGATTAACTTTTTCTCCAAGTGGTTTTTTTCTCTTGAAAATGTTTGTTCTCAGGCACAATGGCATTGCATTTTGTTGTGCAGAGTTGTCTCCCTTAGCCATGCAGGATCCACTTATCTTGGGTTTGATTCCTCAATTTATTCTGATTATGAACTGTGTTCTCTTGGCCCGTACAGGTGATGGGTTTCACCAATGTGGTAAATGTGTTTCATGTTTCATGTCTCCTCCATCATTACACTCACATGCCACCACACATCTATGTGTATAGCATTGTTCAAGAAAATGTAGGGACAAAATTGTTTTCTGGATTTCTACTAAAATATTGGCCCTTTCTTTGCATATCTTGCAGGAGTGACAGAAAAGTATATTGTACCCAAACAAAAGTTCCAGCTCTTCCACCCCTACCCAAAGCCCACAGAATATTGGTCGGCTCGTTGTATCCGTATTTCCCTAGAGGAAAGCAGTACTGTGTCAATTGTCAAATACATTATCTTGGTTTTGAAATCATAGGTGGCATGTTGTGTTTCTATGCACTACTCATATATATATATATATATATATGTGTGTGTGTTTGTGTGTGTGTGTGTGTGTGTGTGTGTGTGTGTGTGTGTGTATGTATATGTATTGTAGGCTTGCATTAACAGACAGAGCATGATATAGAAGACAGCTAGGCATGACATAGAGCCGACAGAGCATGATATAGAGCAGACAGAACATGATGTAGAGCAGGATGAGTAGAGCAGACTGGGCATGATATAGAGCAGACAGGGCATGATATAGAGCAGACAACATGATGAGTACATCAGACAGAGCTTGATATAGAGCAGACAGAGCTTGATATAGAGCAGACAGAGCTTGATATAGAGCAGACAGTGCATGATATAGAGCAGACAGGGCATGATATAGAGCAGACAGTGCATGATATAGAGCAGACAGTGCATGATATAGAGCAGACAGAGCTTGATATAGAGCAGACAGTGCATGATATAGAGCAGACAGGGCATGATATAGAGCAGACAGTGCATGATATAGAGGAGACAGTGCATGATATAGAGCAGACAGGGCATGATATAGAGCAGACAGTGCATGATATAGAGCAGACAGAGCTTGATATAGAGCAGACAGTGCATGATATAGAGCAGACAGAGCAGGATGAGTACATCAGACAGAGCATGATATAGAGCAGACAGAGCAGGATGAGTACAGCAGACAGACAGTACTGCTTGATATAGAGCAGACAGAGCTTGATATAGAGCAGCCAGAGCATGATATAGAGCAGACAGGGCATGATATAGAGCAGACAACATGATGAGTACATCAGACAGAGCTTGATATAGAGCAGACAGAGCATGATATAGAGCAGACAGAGCATGATATAGAGCAGACAGAGCAGGATGAGTACAGCAGACAGACAGTACTGCTTGATATAGAGCAGACAGAGCTTGATATAGAGCAGACAGAGCTTGATATAGAGCAGACAGAGCATGATATAGAGCAGACAGGGCATGATATAGAGCAGACAACATGATGAGTACATCAGACAGAGCATGATATAGAGCAGACAGAGCAGGATGAGTACAGCAGACAGACAGTACTGCTTGATATAGAGCAGACAGAGCTTGATATAGAGCAGACAGAGCTTGATATAGAGCAGCCAGAGCATGATATAGAGCAGACAGGGCATGATATAGAGCAGACAACATGATGAGTACATCAGACAGAGCTTGATATAGAGCAGACAGAGCTTGATATAGAGCAGACAGAGCTTGATATAGAGCAGACAGAGCATGATATAGAGCAGACAGAGCAGGATGAGTACAGCAGACAGACAGTACTGCTTGATATAGAGCAGACAGAGCTTGATATAGAGCAGACAGAGCTTGATATAGAGCAGACAGAGCATGATATAGAGCAGACAGAGTATGATGAGTACATCAGACAGCATGATATAGAGCAGACAGAGCTTGATTTAGAGCAGAGAGAACATGATATAGAGCAGACAGAGAGCATGATATAGAGCAGGATGAGTACAGCAGACAGAGCTTGATATAGAGCAGACAGAGCATGATATAGAGCAGACAGAGCATGATATAGAGCAGACAGAGCATGATTTAGAGCAGACAACATGATGAGTACATCAGACAGAGCAGGATGAGTACATCAGACAGAGCATTATATAGAGCAGACAGAGCATGATATAAAGCAGACAATGTGTGTCGATCACATCCAGGTTAACTCATGTATGTACTGCTTTAGGTAACACAACTTAAACAAAAAGATTTGCATCTAATATAACAGATGTGACATTTTCATAACATTAAGCAGGATATTGACTGACTTACTGCAATACAGGCTAGCATCATCTGTTACACGAGTTACTGCATGTGATGTGTCACATTTCACCCACAAATGATTGCTAAATGAAACTGCATACTCAAATTGATTTCTTTAAAGCAAGATCCATATCTAGGAATGCTTCACTAATTATGCTCTGAGCATACAAGCTTTTGTGTAACTGCCCTCAGAGTTAACTGTCGTCACCTATGATTAAAGGTATAACTTCTCCTCTGCCCTTGAGTAATGAAGTTGTCAATTACAAATAGAAAGTTTAAATGACGATAAATAGCAGGTTGTAGTGTGGACCACCACAGGTTCAAAGGAATGTCCTTGGTTGTAGTAACTCGACACTGATGGTGATGTGGGGTATCGGGTGTAGGATGGGTGACTGACTATTACACTTGTCCTTGCCTTTTTCCTGCCAGTGCTCTTCATTAATTACATTCAATTGATTTTGTCATATATTTCACTTGATTTCAACCTTTACTGATATTGACAAGTTTGGATGATGGTTTCCTGTTTGAAGTGACACGAAATAGAGTGTATGATTTGAAATGGATGCTCATGATTTGAAGGCCGCGATAGGATCCTGGATTGATTTTGACTGGAATTGCTGACAGTAAATGTATGCTTTGTCACTCTTGGTAATTACCAGATTTAGAAAGGAACTTTATCTCACATAGGGAATCGACTCCAGCAAATGAAAGAAGACATTGTACAGACTTGAAAGAATGATCTTTTTACCTTTATATTATTTTGGGGTTTGAAAAACGTATGTTAGTAATTTTGAAAATGTTTAGATGCAATCTAGTGCTGAATGTTATCATGAAGTTATAACCATTTTGACCGTCTAGACAGTGGAAGGCTTTGAGTGGTAGCTTCTATAAAAGGGGATTATTATTGCATAGAGCCATCTTCATTTATAAACAGGGAGGTTTTTAAGTTTTCAAATCATAGATGTATTTTCTGTTTTTGAAATATCCTATCATGAAATTGTTGAAAGCCTGTTATGAACAAGCATGTTATTTGAGAGTTTCATGATGGCCCACCCCGCGGAGGGCTGTTTATGGGGTAAATTGTGTATGCTTGAAGTAACTAAATGAATAATGGAGATACAGATTTCGTGAAAAGTATTATGGTTTTTAAAAGGGTTTGTGTTGACTTAATCCATGATCATGGCATGTATTGTGGCAACCTATTGTCAAATAGGAGACACTATGGCTTTAACTGACCTACTGTACAATTTTACACCATGACTTGTCAATGATCATAACTGTCACACGTAATTGTCAGGCCACACTTCCAAGATTGATAATTTGAGGGTTCTTGAGACAGTATTTTAAAGTTGGTAGGTTGCAGAGTTTTACATGGTGTAGAAATGTGAATCCTGTAAGCTTAAATGTAGAGAATGGACACAGAAAAGAAATATATTACACCCTTAGAGATGAAAAATAATATTCATTGAATCGAATTCTTGACACGAATTATATAGGT